ACGTGGTGGGGCCAGCTAAACATTTGCCAATAGATAACGACACTGCCTCGTTATCTGTTAGCTGACAGGCTGTCAATCAATCTCCCTACGTTTCTAGCGTAACTGACTTGCCTGCGCGCCGCCGGTACGTGGTTTACGTACGCCTGTCACGCAGTCCACAGACGCAAGACGCACAGACGCTGTTTACTCCACCAACGCAACAGTTCTTAGCGGCTTTTTTTGACCTATATCTTCCTCGCAGTTAGCACAAAGTTTGTTGCAATGGCGACAAGAATCCAGGAGCAGTTAGCCGCAAAAGAAAGTCCGTTTTTGAGGTCGCTGAAAAAAAAAGAAGACAAGGGGAAAAGCAGCGAAGCCAAACTAAGGTGATTCTTGAAGATTCATTCCAGCGATGGCGCGACTGAAGCAGACGCAGGGTCTAAAGACTGACGCATTGGTCGCCAAATGACTCCTGGACAGGTCACTTCTGCTTATTATGAAAACGTACTTTATTTCCAAGAGCTAGACAAACGTTTTTCAGGACACGAAAGCAATATCCTATGTCTGAAAACGTAATTTTCAAGGCAAAGAAAGAGTCCGCTTGCTGCTGCGTGTTGTAGCTAGTTCATTCGCACAGAATCTCCGCGCACCCTTCTCTGCACCCCTTTCCTGCTCCTCTCCCCGCTGCCCGATCCGCTCTTCCCCCTTCTCCTCACTTCTCCGGGCACGGAATCTCCGCGCACCGCTCCCCTCTCTCCTCTCTCCTCTCCTCTCTCCCTGCTCCGCTCTTCTCGCTCTTCTCCCTGCTCCTCACTTCTCGTCCACGAACGAAATGTCCGCACACCCGCTCCCCCCGCTCCTCACTTCTCCGTCTTGCCTAACCAACACTGTAGTTAGTTGTTTACAAGTCATGTGCAGCACCGGCTGTAAACAAACCTGTTTCTGGCGTAAAGAGGAGGCGGGAGAAGGCGTTTCTACGTAGGGAGCTGTAGGGGAGGGGGGGTGGTTTCACGCATGCGCAACATTTGAAAAAGGACAAACAGTCGCTGGATTTCTCGTTCCTTGGAAAATCCTCTATACAACCTTTAAGCAATTTTCATTGATCCCCAAGGGACATTATTTAGACACAGTAGCTCATAAAAATATAAATGGTAATAATAAATTGAAATTACTAGCAAATATATCTGGGCTATATACAGGAGGTTGTAAGGAAAAACTCTATACACTCTCTGCTGAACTATAGGTAAAAGGTAGCTGTTAATTTGACTACTACTTCATGACACCACAAGATGGAACAGAGCATTTTGAGCTTTGAGGTAACAACATTATAGCATGACTTTAAGCTCACAAGAGTGAAGCTTGTGTAATATAGGCCCTTTAATTTAGATGCCATAAAGAATTAGTGTACCATATTACACTTGAATAGCATTTAGGATCCGCATTCTTTCACATTTACCCCAGAAGCCTGTGACTGAACACTGTAGCTCTGCTGACAATAAAAAAAAAAAAAAATACTGCGAAGTCACTTGTGTTTATCTCTACAGCACATTGTTGCTTTTGTCCTTATATACAATCATGAAGTGTTTATTCGTGCAAACTGTTTTGGTTTGAGAGGTTTTGAATGTAGCCAGCTAGTCTCAGCATGAACAGTAAATATGAGGTATAAGTCAGTGTATCTGTGTAGGGTGGAGGTTTGAGCGATTCTTATGTGAATGATGAGAGCCTGAGGGTAAATGGAGCTTTTCGAGGTGTATCGTCTCTCTTTGTCCCACACCCTCTGGGCACATGCTTTTTAAGGTCTCAACTGTTGATCCACAGCCTGAGGAGGAGATTCAGGTGTCAGCAGCTTCCACGGCTAAAAGCATCATAATCACATTAGAGGTCGTCTTGTGAACAGAGTCAGGGGGCTTCTTTTGAGATTTGACTCTAACTCAAAACAGAGAAACCAGGAATTAGTTCAGGGGTAAACTGCACATTAACAGTTATAAACAAATAGGGTAGTGTTTTCCTTAATGTCACGGCTTATTACATTACCGATTACTACTTTGCATTTTATTTTCCTTATCTGACACAGTCCTTTAAGTTTTGGACACTAACATTTTTATATTGTTTATGTCCACAAAAATATGAAGAGAAAATTATATGAGGTAGAAAATTAAATCTTCATTTATTTACTCAATATTTTGCCAGATAAATAAATTGAAAACACCTTCTCAACCTGGTCAAGAGGCAGCATAAAACAGCACAAGCAGAATACTCTCAGAAACACATATCAACACATATTAATCATAACATGAAACAGTGAAATGTAAACATGAAACAGTGAAGCATTTGCAGCTTAAAGATATAAAAGTGTTAAAAGCCTGTGCACTGATAATATAAAAGTATATTTTTGTAATCAACAGAAGAGAATATATCCATGGGTTTCTGATCTCAAATAGTAGAAAAAGAGGGACAAGTTGTCAAATGTGGTGAGATGTTTAATAACACAGACTTTTTTGTTTTTCTCAGTTGTAATGCACACAAACGTAAAGAAATAGCAATATGTGGCAATTTATTAGAGCCACTACACTCAAAACATTACAGTTTTTTTTCAATCGCTTTTACACTTTCGAGATGATGACATGATGATAAGTTTATTCAGATGTTTCCATAAATAATAAATTGCATTATCATGCAGTAAATTATAAATTGCATTATTATGCAGTAATCAACAGATACATAAAGGCAATTATTTTACATTGCTCATCACAACTATAATCACCAAAAAATAAAAAAAATAAAAAATCAATCAAATCAATCCTTCCGAAAAGAAGTGGGGAGAAGCAATGCTCATCTACCCCCACCCCCTTTTACAACCCCATTAAAGCAATAATGTGCTTCTGCCAGACTCTTATAGTGCGTCACATTACTCCAGATACAAAAATAAATATAGCGTAGTTTACATTCAGATAACAAATAAACTTAAATTCCTTCTTGTGCATACGTAGCTATAATCATTTCTTTATACTGATGTTTAAACATTTACATATTTGGACATTTTTTGAGCTCATCGCTCATAGAGTTCCAGATTTTGACTCCACAAACTGAAATATAAAAACTTTTTCTTGTTGTACAGACACTATCCATATTAAAGAGATGAATTCCCCTTAAATTATAAGTACTTTCCCTTTCCTTAAAAAGTTTCTGAATATTTTTTGGTAGTTCTTTCCTTTCTGCCTTATATATTTTTTTTGCTGTCTTTTGAAACTTATCAGATCCTTAAAAAAGTTTAAACATTTTTGAACTGATAAATAGCTGGTCTGTGTGGTCATAAAACTCAGCGTTATGAATTATTAGTAGTGCTCTTTTCTGTAATATGAATAGTGGTTCCAATATTGTTTTAAAATTATTAACACAGATCTCAGCACAGTATGTTAAATATGGTGCAACTAAAGAACAATAAAGTGTGTGTAGAGCTTTCTTGTCCAGAATAAAAAAAAAATAAATTCCGAGAAACTTTTTAACAGTTTACATTTTTCAAAACTAGGAGCAAATACTCATGTCATCTTGGCATGTCTCATTTTACAAGAAGTGTTCTATGTTTTGTTCATGAAAAAAAGAAAAAAGAAAAAAAAAAAGAAATGCATGAAAAATGTGACATTCTTTAAATAAATGAGACGAGAGACCTAGATGAATATGCAGGACAGCCAAGGGACAAGTGGTCGCCCTATTGCACTGTTGTCATTGTAATTACCAATTTAAAACACAATGTACAAAAGTCCCTAAAATTTCTGCACCAAACAGGAAGCTGAGACCCATGAATATAGAAGAACTAATTCTAATGCAACCACCATGCAATCTCAGAGCCCTTGACAACAATCTCCACCAGCATACCGCTATGGTGACTGTCTTTCGTGATGGTTCAATCTCCCAGTAAGGGGTTAACTCTATGGAAATGGGATAATCCATTCTCATCAGATTTGAGCATAGAAAAAACGTCATGCTTTCTCTCTTCTCTCAACCACTGCACAACACACATACATACGCACGCATATAGCCACACAATGTAACACAAAACACCTGAGCGTAATAAATGGTATATTCCCCACCCTCCTGTCTCCCTAATTTGGATGAAGGAACCGTGTCTGGCGAGTGGATGACCCTCATTTCCACACCATTGAAGAGCAGGGCGTACAGCTGTGAATGATGAAATACACAGGATGGATGTGCAACTGTTCTTTTCACTGATCAACAAAGGCTGTCAGCAATGAAAGGACATGAACACCTGTTTGGGGCAAAAAAATGAGCCGGGGAACTGAAACTTGTACAGAGCCCTACAGCTAGAAATGGTCCTGAAAGAGTAGACGTGGGGGAGGGGAAAGCATAAATAATAAAGTCTTCCAAAACATATGACTAATGCTTATTATCACCATGAATAAAACTACTAAAGTACCGTTGTACGTATCGGAGCATTGAACTAATCCACCTTTTTTTTGTTGGCTCAAACTGTAACTAAAACTACTGATGTTTTCATGTAATTATAAAAACTAAACTTGAATGAAAATAATTGCACAAGAAAAATTTTGACATAATCCAAGTACTTCAAGGAACACGTATTCACAGTTTAGATACCGACTGCAAAAAACACTGATTTGAAAAAATGTTGTTCCCTAAATTTACCTCCGTCTCAAACCAACAAAAACTGGTCCTACAGGTCTCTGACTCCCTCACATTATTCATCTAAAGGTATGGTAGCATTCTCTGGCCTGTGTCTGGATGATGATTTATAAAGTTTGTGTGTCAAATATTCTGTTTTATAAATTTATAAAAAGTTTCAGAAAATCTGCCAAAGCAACTGAATTTTCTAGTTGACAAAAATGATAATGTATTCATCAACAAGTAATTTTAGCCATGATACAAAGACTAAAACTATTAAAACACTTAAAATGTCTTACCAAAATGAACACTGCTGGTTTGAATATATGGATGTAATGACCATTGTACTGTATATGTTTGTGGGTGCTGTGCGGTCAGCAGGTGTTGTACTGTCCCAGAACACTCCATTATGTGATGATTTGGCTCAGGACAGACTGTTACCTCTGCTCCCCTCCGCATGAATGATGTGGACCCAGTGCGAGGTGAGTACACATTTGTTTCCATTGCGCTGTGTAGATGTGTGCGCATTTGTGTGTGTGTGTGTGTTTGGATGATCGAGGTAATGAAGCAGCAACTGTGTGGGAGTGTGCCTAGAGACCGGACATATGGACCAGGAGAAGACCCGCTGGACTTGGGAGTTGGTACACATTATAGGAATAGGAACAACTAGTGACAAATACAGGACAATTTATATATGTCTTTAAGTCTGTGCAAAACCATACAGAAAGATAGACAGGCATGACCTTCTTAAATAATTTATGTCATAGTCTTTTCTCGTTGTGTCTACAGTACATGACAACTGTAGTATGCATGCACAGAGAGACTTCAAACAGCCACTGGCCTCTAACTGTCTGCCTGTATTTTACATAAATGATCCTAATGCAATAAGTGCAGTGAGTGAAAAACAAGGTTAACCCTGTGACCGTACATTGCAGGCTTCTACAGTGCTGCTATAAAATTAAACACAGACTCAATTGGTTACATCCAATAAGTAAGTACGATCCACTCATTGGACTTGAACTGCTAATAGGATTCAGCTGACAATCAATCACGCTTACACTACACTCCATGTGCCCCCTGTAGTGCTCTGAAAGACCCTCTCAAGCTGCTGGTTCAATGGAATATTCCGCTCTTTCTCTTGAATAATATGGCTAGTCTTCTATGCTGTTACTGTTACTGTGTCAAAGAGTTTAAAGACCATTCACACTGAAACATTTTCAAAGCCTCGCTGAATGACAAATTGGGTTACAGGTACACTAAGAAACTAGTAGAGGGTCCACTGTCCACTGTCCACTGTTTCACTGTTTCACTGTATGGCATTAAGCTTACAAATCCAGTGTTTACCTTAAAAAGCACACATTCTTACTATGCGGGGTTGCCTCTCCAAAGCGTTGGCCAGGACTCATAAGGGGAAGAGGAGAGGGCCGTCTAGGACACTGCTGGTGCCAAAAACATTGTGCGAGGCCTGCTGCTCGGCCCCCCGTCTGTGCCAAACCCTTTCAGACAAGCACTGGCCCGGGACGGTCAGTGTGCCAGAATCACCCCTGGAGGAGAAACAGAATGTAGCCACATTAACTAATTGCTCAGTAAAGCTTAGAGGGCTCAACAGCATGGAGCAGTGGACTGAGGCATATATGCTCAGTAAATAGAAGAAAAACACTGCTTTGTACTTACTTACAATTATTTTTTTTTAACATTAAAAAAAGACTCTGGTTCTTATGTAGGATTAAAAAAAACAAAAAACCAATCACACCACTCGGTGTGGTGAAATGCCACAAGGGATGGAGGCCTTTCAGTTCTGCAGTTGTAAATAGGAAGTCAATGGTCCAGTTCCTATAATTGAGACATTCTACATCAATATTGTTCTTAAATGAGCACAATGCAAAATAAGTGTCTATGTATGTTATGGAGTTTAATACAAAGTACCCGAAAAACCAAGACATGTCTTCTTTAAAATATATGCTTAAAGGCTCTTATAGGCCTCTATGGGCATTAAGCCAACAGTTTCAGGACATTGTCAGTTTGGTGATCACACGGCGGTACACTGGGCTTCCATCCCAGGACAGCTGTGGCTAACCAGTTAGAAATTCACATTACAAAGTGAAATATAATTTTGGCTATATTTTTTTCTTAAACTTTTGTAGAAAAACAACATGCAGTGCAATAAACCTCTGTCAGCTTGACCGAATATAAATTGGCAATAATCAAGACTAATGAGCCCGGAGGACGATATGCATGGTTAAGTCTATACACACCAGCTTTATATCTGCTGGAGGGCCCCTTTTGGCATGGCTTCAGATGGATCTCGTCTTCGCCTTCCCCACTGCTAGTGTCTAAAAAGCTCCCCTTTAGCCTGCCCACTCCCTCTCCTTTCCTCTACCCGAATACACAAAGGACATCCTCTCAGTGAATCGGCCAAACAAGTTAAAGTGTTGTTGCCGGTGGTTAGACAGAATGGCTGGATTTGGCTACTGTGTGGATAGTCAGGGCCCTTTGGAGCACTGTGTATCTATGGTGGGTCTATGGTGAGGGAGCGTGTGGGAGGGCAGCTCTATCCAAAGGCAAAGAGGAGCAGGTGCTGTTACCGAGGCTTTTGTTTGGGTAATTCTCCTCTTTGTTACGCATCTCCACGGTGGCACAGAAAACTTCAAGGCCAAACATGTTTTAACATAAAAAAAAAAAAAAAAATCTGACAATGTGTTTTAGGTTTATCAAAACACTTTATTCATTCCCCAATCACATTTAATGGCTGTATGCTGCTTGTATCGCCACAGCTGCCCTGGGGCACTCTATAAAAAGTGTGATGGCCATTCTCTGCCTGTATAGACCCACATATCACCACCTGTCATACTAACATTCACACAAACAAGATTTATTTTTTTCAAATTTAACCTTTATTTAAGCAGAAAATTCCTATAGAGATTTGGGGATCTCTTTTTCAGTGGAGTCCTGACCAAGAGGCAGCAGCATAATCAGTTTAGACAAAACATATAAATTGTTAGGGACATTTAAAATTGTGACAATCCATCGGATTTTTGACCTTAATAGTTTTCTGCAAAGGTTGAAATATTCTGCCCAAGTACACAGCTACAGTATATGCAACAGTGATCACTTTTAAAATGATTATTTCTTATGCATGCAACTTTAAAATCACACAAATGTGATAACTACATAGGTGTGCCATCCTGCATGTTGATGACCTGACTTCAAAAATAATCAAAAGCGCATAATCTTACTTTTTCCACATTTGAGACACAGGTGACAGCATGTAGAATTACATAACAAGCATATACTGTGAGTGATAGAGGACATTATTACAAGGCTTTAAGTGTAATGGATAAGTCAGCTAGTCTCAGCATGAACAGTAAATATGAGGTATAAATCAGTGTATCTGTGTGCAATCCAGACTGTGTGGGGAGCAAATAGTGTACTTCCTTCAATTCTTTTTGTGATATGAATTCCTGGCTGCTGCTCAGAGGCAGGTCTTAATGCTGCTCACAAGGGAAGTGTTTGGCGTCTGCTGATTGTCGGGGATAGTTTTAATAAGACTTTATTCATGACCACTGTTACTCTGAAATACACAGCAAATTATTCTTAGTTCACGTGTTGTAGATAAGATACTCACGTGATTTGTTTAGACAACTCAAATCGTACTGAGTGTGGTCCGCATAAGGATCAGTTTTGGTACTCTTCATTAATGAAGGCACCAAGTCACCCGACAGGTAAAATATATAAGTATAATCAAACTCAGTAGGTTTAAAATACAGTTTTTACCTGACAGGCTCAGATGTATTTCCCCTCACATAAAATCAAGCATTTCCATGACCTCAATCTCTAATTGTAGCTCTTACCTCTTCATCACCCCAGTGCCACTGTCTCTATAAAGATGCACATTTCTTCTGTGAAATTGGCCAGTAATGACACATAATCACATCGAGATCTGACAAAAATGCAGAGGAGGAGGAAATTGCTGTGGTGTAAACTGAACGGTCAGTAATTATAGGTGATGTGTGATTATATGTAATGACTTCATAAATATCCCAAGATAGTAGTCGCAGAAAAAACATTGTATCATAAGATCAAAAACTATGCATGATTTTATTGTGTCTTTTATGTACCTGATTCCATGAATTTGAAAACTTCTCGAAAGTGTATTTGTTGCTTTCGTCATGTACATAAAAAAAAAATAACTTAAACAAGCTTCTGCCATCATCTTGATGCTAAACAGTTTTACAGGGCTAAAAACACACTCTCTCTCCTCATAGATGTCCTTGGTTGTTTCTTTTCCAGGAGTGCCTGCTTTGCTGTTGTAGTGATTTACAGCCTTCTACCACAATAAGTGGCTGTAAAACCCATTCTCCAGACTGATTCCACTGCTTAGCTCATATGCTTCACACCTACAATAATTATTCAAGACATTTAAAAACATAATAATTAGTATTAATGAGATGTTTAGTCTTCTCTTTAGGTGATGTGACTTGTTACAAAGAGAAAATAAATTACGGTGTTATAAATATGTGCAATATTTGTTTCAAGAAGAAGGTATTTGATTTGCTCTTAAATCAGAAAGTTTGTGGTTTAGTCTGTGGTATATATTTTTGAAATGTTGGTAATTTGGGGAATTTTCTTGATACAATTTCAAAAAAGAGAAAAAATGCAAATGTGTGCCAAAAGTTTACATAAAAGAAATGCCAACTACTGTAAATATATACATCTGATGCCCATATATGGTTGCCCTTGTTTCACGTGGTCATCTTCAGGTACAAGCTCTATTTTTGTCCATGTAAATGATTAAAATAGCCTAAAAGCAGAGGAACATGGGACAGAGCAAACACACCAGCTGCACACCTGTCACCATGGAGGCCACTTCAGACGGGTAAACCTCACTTCACCTACAAAGTCAATGATCAGGCCTGGCATGACGCAATATGGAAAAAGATACAGATGTTGCATCATATGTGCTCCTCAGTCATCTGCACCAACAAACTGCATTTAAGGATACACTGACATACGCAGGTCATGTAGCGCGAACAGGTGCTGGAGGATTATATCATGGTGTAGACATCTGCTCTTATTTACCCATGTACACACACTTTCCACCCCAACTACTCGAACATTGGGTCATTTCCTATATGAAAGTTGAAAGTACAGTTTGTTCCTCTATTAACTGCACTCTTTAGCAATAGGTTCAGGCCTGTCCACAAGCGTCACTGGATATGACTGGATATGAGTCAGATCTAATACCCTATAGCTCACAATAATATCTTTAAGCAGTGTTTTTTTGTTTCCAGTAGGGAGTAAACAAATACATACATAACAGCAAAGATTATTGGGTTGTAACAGAGGTTTAAAGCAAGTCTAAACCAGCAGCAAGAACAATGTTACAAAAATCAATTCACTCTCGATGAGATTAGCTCATATTGTCAAATTAAAATAGCTGATACTGATTATTTTTTCATGCATCTGAACAAAACTTGTCTTGCGTCAGTGCAAATATATTATTTAAGAAGAGCATAGAAATGATTCTAGCTATGTTTTTTATATCTTGAAAAACATATTTTGCTATTTTTGGATCTATGTTATAGTGTTGCTTTTTCATCCAAAATATACCTGGGATTGTGTTTTGTTTCATTCACACTGTTTAATACAGTGACCCTACATATTTAGGCGAGAGTTCTTCTCTCAAAATAAAAACACTTTCTTTCACTTTTTGATGTTGTGGTAATACAGGAAATACTCCACTGTATTTTTAAAATCCATACACCTTCACTAGAATCATTTGGATAATTTCAGCCCTAGAATTGCCAATCTCTGAACTAAAGGTAACTTATAGCTGATAACTTGAAAACTACCACTGCACTACACTGCGACATCACAGGGTGAAACAGTGTTGGGGATGCTGAGGTTACTCAAACATGTGCGAATGAAACAAAACATAACTCAGTGTATGTTTTTGACAAGGTAACATCATTTTAACATGGCTAAATGCTCACAAGAGTCAATTTTGCATAATATACGGCCTTGAACTAGAACTGTATTTTTCCCTTATATGACTCTATACCTGACATGTTGCGTTCTAACATGCAGACTCCTGGGGTCACATTTGCAGGTTAATTCCCCTGTTGTTCTTCTGTAGGTTGCAGGCTTGTGTGGAATGGGGGCGTGAAGAGCACCCAGAGCTTCCTGTCTCCGTTCATTTCACCCTCAAAGACTCACACTGTGGGTGACCTTTTCACTGACTGCACCCGCCCAGGCACCCAGCGCCGCACAACACCCAACTGTCTGCTTCTACTGCACTCAGCCCTCTGAAACTGTGTCACATGACCTCAAAGTGTGGGAGTGGAGAGGAATGTTTCTACTGTAAGTGCTCTGTAATTGCGGTCATTATTTCTATAAGGAAATATTAATTATCTCTAAATGAGTGTCTTCAAGCTAGAATGGTTTTAAATACAACACGGTATATTTATCATCAAAAAGCCAGAGTCAGTTTCTGTAGAAGTTGATGATCTATGTCAAAAAAAAAAAAAAAAAAAAGAAATGTTCCAACATACAAAATCAAAATAATTTTATCTCTATGGAGACCAGAGAGTTATACTGCCGGGTAGATACAGGTAAATTCAGAGCCAAACTGCTACCCCTCTTCAAAAAAAGTTCCACAGTGCAGCATTTTGCTTGAGTAATTCATCACTATATTTGAGAAATACTAAGAATAGTCTTTCTTTTTCCGTCTTCTCTATTAGGCCTCACAAACCAGAATGACGGGATTGAAAAAAATGTGCTGAAAGCAAAATCAGAGCAATGCAGTGAAAACCTATATCTTTGTCAGAGAGGAGCATTTGAATGATGTGTGGAGGAAGACATTGGTATACGGCCTGTAGACAGCTGAGGGGGCCGTTTGTGGAAACCTGAGAAACTGAGGCTCTCTTTTCCAAACAAGGAGTCTCAGTAACAGGTGACAGCAGCAGGCCCAGGCACTTTCTACTTCACTCTACAGTTTAGATCCTATCTGATACAGAAACAATGAGGGCAATGAGATAACCTCACAATGCCAACAACAAAAACATCTTACCTGACAAAACCTTGGCATGTGTGTATCACTTTGGTCATCTCTTCTCAGAAGGTCATAATTTCTTTGTAAACTGCAACTAGGCCAGAACTTACAGAGACAGTGACAAACATGTGTCCTTTTATTAGACTTAGACTTAGATTTAGACAAACTTTATCGATCCACAAGGGAAAGTATTTGGGCACAGTAGCTCATACATCACAATATAATATAATAACAAAGAGTAAAAATGAAATGGTAATAATAAATTCTAAATAATTATATAAATATATATGTACAAGATACATACACAAATAAAAATATAGAAATATGGTCATACAAATATCTCTTTAAATGATCAACTAATCCCCTGGTGAAATACAATAAAATTACATAACCATAAAGATAGAAAAGTATTTTGCCATTTAATGAAATACAGTTTGCTTGAACACAGTCTTGTACATAGTATACCATTCCATTCTGTATATACAACTGTTCATCTGTGTATTTCTACCAACTTCATCTTGTACTTACTACACATACACAGTAGTTTTGGGCTAGGTGGGCCATAATGACAGACAGATAAGCACTATAGCAGTTTGGTGTGGTGTTGTTGACATGCAGGCTGGATGTATATGCCTTATTGTGTGTCCATCTGTCTGCCTTTATCTCCACTTACCACCCCCTAGTCCCGGGACCCCCTCCCTCCTCCCCTCCCCCTATAGGCCGCTCACTCCCTTCTTTGTGGCCTGGTCCGTCCCTCCCCACGCGCTGGCAAACGACCAGGGAGCTTCCACCCACTGCAACTGGTGGCATTGTTCACACGCATATGTGCACAGTGGGCTGGCCGTCTACCAGGCATGTGATCACACAGACGCGAGCATCTGCTGGCACCAGATACCCATCGCTCTGACTGATTAAACTTCTGCTTCAGTTCACTTGTGTTTACGGCATGCTAAACTAAACATTTGGTATTTGGACAGGTTTCTATTTAGTTTGTCAAAAATCCAGTGGACTTGTCATTAAATGTTGCTATGATGCAATTTAAAGTTTTTCTTTTTAAGTTTTTATATGTTTTGAAACCCCCTTCAAAAGTTTCATCACAATGTATTTTTGACTTGAACTTGAGAATTATAATCTATTATCTGAAAATATCAAAAAGTTACAGGCTATTTGTCTGTGCAATTAACTCAACAAAACGTTAATCCGTTCAAACTTTTATTAAAAAATTTACTGTCTTTTTTACTTCTATTTGATCTATTGGTGCAACTAGAGTGAAATGAAAATATAAAAAACATAAACTTGTAGTGTACTCTTTCAAACATGGCATACAATATAATTCTTCACTTTTGTGTTTAATTTTACATTTCGTTCATGTCATATGATACTCGTATATGTGTATATCTTGTTTACTCGTCTCTGTAACTTGACACTATAGGACTAATCTATAAAGAAAGCAGTACTCGAGGGGAGATAAACAGTGCCGTGGATGACATCAAAGTCGTCCTTGCAAAGATGTGGGAGGAAGGTGCTGAGTTTCTGTTTGAGCAGGTTTGTTGTGGGCACAAACTATGCAGGGTGTTTTGTTTGAACCAGACTCAAGGTTGATAAAATAAATAAGAAGTAAGTACAACATCTGATAACTTTACAAGGCTGCCATATTTAAACTTCCTGAGTACAATGATATTATTTTTACAGTAAGTGACGTGGAAGTTTAGTCCCTTTGGCCAAAATTACAGGCAAGTGTAACTCAATTATTCTGTTTGTAGCAGTGAGGTACTTCACGTCACATAGTTCTTTCCTCATATTTAGAGTGACAGTAAACACGTATTACAAATTAAACAGACCAAGTCCCACTTTTACAAACACTTGACAAAGGCACTTCATGTCCTGTGTATGTTTATAGAAATAGGCCTGAGATACAGTATATCATTAAATCTGATACCTGCACTTTTGGATATGCTGCATACAACATCAAAAGTTTGTCCAATCCAATAATTTATCAAACCACAACACAAAGCTCGCGGCCATATTTAACTACATTCATTAACGCTTTTGTAGCAGATTTGTTTTCAACATTGAACTGAAAATTTTGTTCAGTTTAGATCAAAGATGTTTGAAGTGATATATTTTCTTAAATAGCATAATCTCAAATGTTTTGGAGAATACACAGCATTCTCATTTGACTTGTAAGCACCAAGATCTGAAAGGTCCTCTCACTTTCTCTGCAAAGTGTTTTTTAATCTTTTGTATAAATGTGTGTTTTCATGTGTGCAATTAAAATCTCATTTAATCTAGTTAGATAATATTAATATTTCATTATAAAAAGGATTTCTATTGTGATGAGTGGGCTACTGAGTCGAAACGATTTCCCTTGCAGGTCAATAAAGTTTGTCTAAGTCTAATTAAGAGTCGTATTTATAAAGTAGTATTTATAGAGTAATCAGCCTGTCACGTCAGCCCTGTATTACAAAGATGTTTCTTTATTGACAGAAGCAAAGCTGCCAGTCTGCATGGCTCTCTGACCACATGACTCACACCTGAGTTATATTATGCAAGGTACATCTTACCTGACAATGACCATATGCACCAGCGCCATGGCTGCCTTACTGGATACACAAAGTTGTGTAATCATTATGTAAACGGAAACTGTTAATTCCTCCAGTGAAGAGCTTTATGGTTTTCTTGTTGCTTCTGAATGCTTTATAAAAGAGTGCATCTTACAGTGAATTATCAGACTTAAAGGTCCAGAGCCAGAGCAGAGGTAGACAAAAGGTGGTTGTCTCTCCAAAGGTCAGTACTTCTATGCAGGGAGTGGAGTGGAGTGGCTTTTCACAGAATTATGTCCTTGTTGTTCCCGGTCACTGATGCACATGAGGGTTCAAAAACAACTACTGCTGTGTCCAAGAGGCAAGCTCTAGCCCAGAACTGGTGCACGCTGGGAAACACAGAGGAGAGGGAAGAAAGGCTTTCTGACAGCAGGTTCAGAGACCAAGTGGTGCAAAGATGAAAGTGCGTGAAAAGGCTGCAGATGTTGACTTTATAAAGGTATTAAAAGTTACACCAACTCATTATACTGTATAATGTAGGTTACTGGAACATATTTGCATTGTTGGCTCATGTAAAGTGAAGTCCATGCAAAGTAAGTAGAGTGCACATAGTACATGTAGACTGAGGACTTTTGTCAAACCACTCTTGTCCCAGTCGATATGCAGGTCAAAAAGCAGAATAGCTGTGAGCCATGTCTTGAAATTTAGCATTAGCTGAAAGATTTTGTTGCTATTATTGCTAATAAAAGATGCTAACATACAACAACACTACATGAAAATGTCTTTGAATGTTGCACAATTTTGCATTGAAAACATAGTATTTATTTATATTTCTCCATGATGGTAACATGCATTGTTACCATGAGTGGGGTGGGAACGTGGTGACTGTTCCACTTGCTCACAGTAAACGCGTAGAGACAAGTTATGTGTTATAGTCTCTCTCCCAGTGATGCATTGGGATTTTGTGACACCTTTATATCACAAACAAAATTGCTTCCGTAGTGTAGTCACTAAAACTGGCCAGTCATCCCTGCTGTTTCTTGTTCACCAATATACCATTTTCAGACTGATACTGACCAAATTGGGAACTCAACAGATGTGTGTTGTTTTTTGTTTTGTTTTGTTTTTGTTTTTGCTATCATACATATTTGCAACATTATTTGTCTTCCTTCAGCACATAAAAGAGGAGATTGAATCAATATGGCCTTTTCCATGACCAATGCTGATACTAATTGTTTATGATCCATATGGCTGATCAGATCTGACGATATTTTTTGGCTGATATGTAGAGCCAGTTTTGGTAATTTTACCTAAATTCAAATTCAAATTTAGTTTAAAGTCATCCACAACTTTTCTTAAACTGGATAAGAGAGCTGTGTAGTTACATTTTTGCAGTAACCTCTCTGTACTAAAGTGTTCAAATAAAGTTTTACACATATACTCCTGTTTATGTGGAGATAGCTGGTTGGCCAAACAAAATATCTGCCTCTTTGTCTTGGAGATTTAACACCGACAGCCAATACACTAGAAAGGTCCAAATATCACCCTGATATCGATATATTCACTCACTAATGCAGATGTTCCTCCTCATGTCTTTGTTTACACTGGGGAGAAGAGAAATATGGCGTCTTGCTCTTGAGGGGTGTGGGCCTAGAGCGTGGATGTGTTTTTGCCCCTGCCACAAGTAGGTCAAGAAAAATCTACAGCTCCTCTGGAATCCATAGTATTAACATAAGTCATACCAGTCAGGCCTAGACTAACCCACACTGCACCAGACCAAATACATGAAGAAGAGGCACTCAACCCGCCCCACACTGCCCCAACAGCTGCAGGGAGTGGGGGGATAGGCACTGACTGTATCGAGAGTTCTCCTGTTGTTAATCATCCCATGAGCCAGCAATTTATCACAATGGAATCCAAGTTTAGCAATCCAAGGCAAACATATTAAAGGTCCCATATTACGCAAAATGTACTCTTGTGAGCTTTTAGCCATGTTACAATGTTCCTCCTCAAAAACATACCTGGAGTTATGTTTTGTTTCCTTCACACATGTTTAAGTAGTCTGTCTACATCTTCTAAAAATACTCTGTTCCACCTTGTGATATCATGAAGCACTTGTTTTTAAGTTAACAGCTACATTTTACCCTACGTTCAGTGTAAATCAGCAATTCCAGGTTGAAATTATCCAAATGATTCAAATGAAGGTGTATGGAGTTTAAAAACACAGAGAAGTACTTCTTGTAATATCACAAAGTGGAACAGAATGTTTTCTATTTGAGGAAAAGAAACAACAATATAACATAGATCAGAAAATAGCATAATATATGGGCCCTTTAAGCAGCAAAGTAACTAAGAACTTACATGTATCTGGAAGGAAGCTCCACCATCACCAAAAAATGTGTCTAAAAGTTAAAGTATCGATTATCATTATGGAGGTTTATGTTGCATTAAAACCTTGAAAACACTCTTGCTGTGAGTGAGCGTGCATCTTCACAAACCTGACTTGTTGCCACTTAAATGTTATTGCTTTGAATAAAAGGTTCTACAGTATGGCATAAAATATATCTTGATGGAGAATGTTCTTAGTGTGTCTGTGGAGTCATGCAGGTGATGTTCTGCCTCCTAAGTGTTACACAGTGCTTCTTTAAGTATTACCAAATTATCAAAACATTCTTAACTGGCCTCAACTTTGCATCGAAACCCAACTAAAAAACTCAAATAAAATCCAAATAAAAAACTGTTTTCTCAAATGAATGCCAGCAGGTCAGATGACTCATTTCTACAATTGACATCTGAACCATGTTTCTAATTACTTATCTCATCACAAAAGGCTTTTATCATTGCCAGGACACATAACTGATGAACATGAAACCCATCTAATCTTATAACAGCCTATTGTAAAACATCTGTAGAAAAATTACAATGCTAAAATAATTACTTTAAGTTCAAAATCACCCTGCAAACCCAAACTTAAAGGTGCAGTATGTTACTTACTTTGTTTTTTAGAGGTGGAGGATCCATCACCTGCTTGTCTCCATGGAGGCGAGCATGACTACAGTAGGTCTGTTACAGTTACAGGTCCAATCTGTGGAAAGAGGGGCCCACTCACAGCACTTTTCAAGATATTTTGTAATTAAACAGGGATATTATCTGGGTGCTAATAACACAATATATATGAGTTTTATACTTCGCAAAATTGCAGGAAAAGCAATAATATCTCTAAAGAGAAAAGCAGCTGACATTCTGATCTCTAGAAAAGTTACTGTTGTATTATTATCATATTTTAGGTCTAGTTTTTGGTTGGAATGGTATTTACCAAGTTGCATGAGTAATAGCTATTTAACACAGTATTCCTATAGGGAAAGTTTTGTTTTGAAGTTACTCATTAAGCAGCATCTGTTATGTGGGTCATGGCTGTTTTTGCTGCTTTATCTTTGACATATCTAAAAGCACAGGAGCCACAGAAAAAACCTCCTGGCGTTTTACCTAACCAGTGTGTGCATGTTTAACTCTGCTGTTTGAAATAGACAATATAGCTTTAAGGCTGCAGTTGTTACTGTCAGCATTTCTCACACTATATGTACAGTTCTGAAAACACAATGGGATGTAAAGGTTTAAGGGATATTTTAGTATTTTAGTATTTTAGGTCTATATGTTTTTGTTTTTTTTTACAAAAGTGAAAATGTGTAAAGCATCTTGTTGTTATGCCTGTGGCTGTTAATGGATTAATGGTACAAGTTTTGCATAATGCTCCTATTAATGCAAACAGCGCTTTCTCATCAAACTCTAGATTTTACCATGCTACGCTCAAGCAACCACACTACTTCTATTAATGGATACAGTTGTGGTTCGAAGTCATAATAGTAGCAGACTTAATGTTGGCTCCAAGGCTTAATCAGTGAGGCTACTTTTATCAGTGTGTGGGACAAACTGTATGGAAGTGTACTGTCTTATCTTGGGCTATTTATGAGAATCTAGGCTGAGTCCTGGTGGGTACAGTTTGTGCTGTACGTTTAACTATGCTTTTGCTCGCACGTACACGCACGCTGGTGTCCTGAGCGAGGCTGTTCTGAGGCGGTTGATTTGTTTTTCACAGCTGTGTGAACGCCACTTCCTGTCAGCTGTTTTCCTCTCTCATTCTCTAAATGAGTTCAGACTTTTAACAAACTATCATTGTATTTTGTCTTAATACTTAAAATGTCTTACCAAATTACTGGCCAAATAATAATAAAAATGTTTATAACTAGACAACTTAGTATTATATATTACCAGTTTTCTGCGAATTATTCTTCAATTATTCAACTGTTCTAAAACAAACAAATATCTGAAATCTACAACAACTATAATCCAACAGATTAATAAAGACATATCGACTGCAATGGCATTATGTAGATTAGTATTCTATAATTACAAACACAATCATGCAACCATCGGCCATAAATTCTGAATAGGAAAAAAAAAAATTTTTGTCTTGCTTCCTATAAATTTAATACAAAAACAAAGACTGGTACTGGCACACTCGTTGGGTTTTCCCTTTAGAAATGAATAAAATAATAAAAACATAAATATGAAGATGATGTAGCTCTGTGTAATTCTTTGGTCTTATTATTGTATTTGTTTTTATGTGTTTCTCTGTTGCAGGAAACAGCTGAGCAGCTGTATTCTCAAAACTTTACCAACTGTTTCTGAGAAAACTAAACCAAAACCAAGCCAGCATCACCTTTACACCAGCAGCAGCGGTGAGAGCAGAGCGTGGAGGGGAGATCATGTGATCTGTGGTTAGACTGCTATATGGTGAGACAAGGGGGCTTTAAATGAACATGTGCTTCACTTTGCAATGTCAAGATGTACAGAAAGTGGTGTTGTCACAGTTAAAAACATTTCAAACTCAATTTCAATGTAAACTTTGTAGCTGATCAGTCATAAACATTCCCTGGGGGTGTGAAGCCAACTGAAAGCACTGCTCTGTTAGAAGCTTTTACTGAAATTGGACTTAATCTGACCTTTATTTTAACACAATCTGACCAGAAAAAGCTGGAACTACACCAGATAATCTGATTTGTGCTGTTAAACAAATCTCTCACATATTACAGTCACAAGTTAGCCAGTATTAGTCAACAGTTTCACTCTTTTTTGTTGAAAAAACACCTAAACAGGACCATGAACACTCGTATTCAACTCCTGAAAATGTTTTGTTTAAATCTATTTTGTATTTTTCCTTTTCAGACAATCTTAAAACTTTTTTGTCTGCATTTGCATTGCCACCATAGTAACTGTTGAACATTCCACCAGTAGAAATGCATTACAGGACACCCCCTGATGTTACAGTTATGTTTTAATACTAATGAAAATGCTTGATATCTTGTAATAATTTAAGAACCACAATCGTCACAAAAATGTTTTTTAGACAATACAATGTCATTTTCAGCTGAAAATAATATATTTAATATTACCATTTGGTTTTATAAAATAAAGATAAAGATAAAGTTTTAAAAAGATCAAGACCATTCTAAATTCTGAAAAGGTCCACTTATGTCTTATATTTACGCAATTTTCATCCATGTCAGTACTTGTGAAATTTGATATCAAATAGTATCTGGGTATCAATTTTGACAACTCTAGTAAATAGCAGTACAACAACTTACCACCTAAATACTTTTAAATCACATTTTAAATTAACTTTTGTGCATGAAATGCAACCTTATAAAACTATGGACTATGATCATGGTGGTATCCCTCAAAGTTGCCCATCGCTGCAATTCAGGCCTAAATCTGTGTGTATTTCCATGTGTACTAGGGTTAGCACAAATTTCCCCCTGTGTTAGTTGGCATACATGAACCTGCCAGGGCTACTTTTCTTCCCTGGAGGTTTTTGAGATTGATTACTGCTGGCCTCTCTATTTGAGGTTATACAAATGTGTTAAATGTACACTGCATTTATTCCCATCTCAGTGTGTGGCCTCAGCAGCTCATGTAGAGGCCTCGGGGCCAGTCTATATTTAGGAGCCAAGGTCGCCCTGCCTGTCTGTCCATGAGTGGTGAGAGCAGTACTGATTTGGAGAGGCCCACCACAGGAACATGCAGCCTCTTCGTCTGACCACTAGTTTTCAGATAACCATATGTGGCCAAAAACAAACACATGAAGACATCGGAGGTGGTTAGAGTATGGACTTATCATTAGAAGACAGGGCCCAGGGCTGAGGTGGTATCACTGGAGGAGGGCAGAGATAGAAATGAGTATCAGCAGTATCTTATCGGGTTTGTAACTGTGAGGAGCTGCCCAGCACTATTGTTCAACTGTTCTCTCTGGGTTGTAAACATAATGACAATGATTAAAACTAATGTAACTCATGTTCATTCTAATTGTTTATTCAAAAAATGTACTTTTGGCTGAGTGGAGTATAGGGAGGAATTAGGGGGGTATTTAGATTGTACTATCTCATTCCTAGCTTTCACAAACCCTTTGGCATGTTGCTAGTATTCACGGATGGGTTTTACAATTAGATGCGGACAGTATGTAGAGGTCTTTTTGCTTTTACAATATAAACTATGAGGTAAAAATGAAATGTACTCTATTACAAAGTTGGGTAACACCAGCATTAACTTACATTTTTGGCGTATACCATTCTTGCAAGTTCTCTCAAGCCACAATAGCCAATATGTTTATGAATTCATTTTCTGAAAATGTATCAAATGTACATATTTACTCTGGTGGATCTACTAGAACCAAAAATGGCCTGCTGTGACTGGGCCTCCTCCTAAGAGCCAGATCTGAATCCTGATACCAGGCGCTCAGACCTGGGTAAAGATAGATGTGGGCGAGAGAAGGGGCAGAGCGGGCTACACATGAACACAGTCTGAAAACACAGGAGAGGAAACACTGATAAAGAAAAAGAAGTGAATCTATGTCGAGGAGAGGAGATAGGACGCAAGGAAGCTAAAGGTCGCTGTGAACATCGGACACAGGATCAAATCACATGCTCTGACTTTCACAGTTTAAGACCTACACAATACACTGACCTGCTCCAAGAGAAAGGGAACTCAAAATGGTGTGTGAATTACAAACATTTGGAAATATAAGCACCTAAGAGAATCTAAAAATAATATAAGAATCTAAAAGGTGCAGTGTGTATCTTTTTTGCTGAAGGGTGCGCTACCTGCTTGCCTCCATTCCACAGTATGGAAACTTGGTAATCACAGTGGAGACAGGTTAATGTCAGATCAGTGGAGAAGCAAAACTGCATATGACAAATTTGTGTTTTTCAGGGTGTTTTTGAGCTGTAAAACACTGGTAATTGAACCAGTTCAACAAAGATATTTTTTATGTCCTACTGTGGAACATTCCAGACAAAGAAATAACATCTCCATAAGGACAAGCAAGTAGCAGTCCTTAGAAGCTACATAGAGTTAAATACTCTTGAAGAAATTCTCTTGTATTTCCTGTTAACCACTGGTACAGTATCGGCTTGGTCGCATATCATGTCATACTCACCTCAACAAAAGTGAACTTGGCTATAAATAGTATCACAATGTAATTTAGTCTTAAGTTAATGTTAAGTCTGGTAAATCATTGTAATAATTACTGTTATTTTTTTACTGAAAATATGCTTATATGAAAACAATCCAACTATATAAACCACTGTAGTCTTTGTTCCCTGTGTGCACTAGTCTGGATTTATGGGGTAGATTGGGACAAGTAATGTTTCTGACAACAAAAGACAATTGCCAATTCAATCCATATTTGAGTCGTTCACACAGGTACAATTTCTGTTTTAGCAAATATGTTACAGCTTAAATCCCAAAAGCCTTTCTTGCATAAATATTTGCCCATAACAACAAACCAATTCAACTTTTACACAATAATACTAGATATTACCGTATCCACCCGGCACTCTACTTCCCAGAACAATGGCTCATTCACACCTGAGTGTTTTCATCCTGGATTTGGCCCTCAGCCCCTTCAGTAGTAAAGCCCCATTGTACGCAGGCCCCACCCACAAGCAGTCAATAACAGGCAGCTTTAGTGATGTGGCCCTCTTTGTCCGCTTGGTCTTGGGTTACTCGCATTGTCCTTGGCTGGGCCGCTGCTGACGGGAAGAGGGTGAGGAGAGGGGGCAGAGCAGATGTCAGCAGCCCGCGATGGATAGTGCCCACAGGGGAAGGGCTGGGAGATGGAGAGAGATAAACCAGGAGGAGGAGAGAGAGGGAGAGAGAGGAGATCTGTTTCAGAGGGATCACTGTTCTGGGTTATAAATGACATACACAGAAAACAAAGATTTCACAATGAGGAGGGGAGAAAGGGGAAACACACGGATCATATGGGAATTTAGGGGAAGTGATACACAGACGTTGTTGTTGTATTGTAAAGCGGCCATATTGCTTTAGAATAAAATGGGTATGACATATCCTTCCCGCACCAAACAATGTAATACCCAAGCACTCAAAACATTTAGAATATAATATAAATTTGCTAAATAATAAGTTCGACTGGTTTACTGTAGCAACATACAAGTAAAATGAGAATAACTAATAAATTAACTGCTAACTAAATAAACAATAGATTAGCCTTGTATTTGCTGGTCACCAACAGTTGGTTCAGTGTGTCATAAATAACAAAAGCATATTGATGATGGTGAACAAGGGAGCGTTTATCAAATTAAGTGTTGATCTACTATTTTAGTCTTATGTCCTGGCACAAATAATCATACTATATCACCATACATGTTTTACATACAATCAGGACTTAATTTGATCCCCCATCTCTCCAATGATCTGCGTAAAGGAATAAACACTGCACACAATGTTATAACAGAATACCATTCGAATAGTGTTTTATGCCCTTAGCCATCAGGCAGATGAGGTTTTGTCCCTGAAGTAGTCACACAGAAGCAGAGATCCACAGACAGCAGGAGGTTCAGGGGTCGCACTGGTAATAAAGCAGGGCCCTCGGAGGAGGAGGTGGAGTCTGTTTTCAGTCCTGTGATATTCTTCTGAACACACTGTATGGACACTGAGGTTACTGTGGGACATTTGAGCCTTTGTCTAATCAGATAATAACAGTAAAGTGTGGGTCATGACAGGGAATGCATTGTTATATGGTCCATCTCAAAATCAGGTACAAATAATCTCACAAGTATTTTCCAAGTAATCTGACACACCTCATTACAACTCACCATTGTAACAAAATAGTTTGACCAGAGAAAATGTCAATTTTTTTTTTTTTTTTTTTTTTTTAACAGAAGTAGAAAAGCCTTAGTCTCTGGCCAGGATAAGAAAAGAGGTTTTCTGCTGTAAAATGTATACGCTGAATAAAATACCCATTACAAAAGGTTTATGATTTTCTGATGCTACAAGAAAATACAATGTTTCAACATCAGTTATTTTTTCCAGATGGAAACGTGACAGAAGTCATGTTGTGTGACTCATTGCGAAAGCGTGTTCAGTGTGGATTGCAAAATCCTTTTAAATCTGGATTACTGTGGTTTGTCTTTCTTCTAGGCTGTTTTACATTCATTTCCCTAGGATAATATTTTCATATAAAACAAACAACTGATCTGAGTATGTTCTGAATCTTCCACTGAACTTTGGAATTTCAACCCAGTACATACAGTGAGTGTATGATTATGAACCCAATAGATTCATGTACATTTAGAACATTCATGGTGTCAAAGGGGTACAGCATTTCAGATTGATACTGACCACAGTAACATTAAGCCCCTGTTCTTTTTTTTTTTTTTTTTACACTTTTTTTGACCACTTGCCAAATAAGTTGACCTATACCAGACTTTCGTGCAATATTATATATATATATATGTATATATATATATATATATATATATATATATATATATATATATATATATACACATACACACAACACATTACAGTGATGGCAAACCACTCATTTACACCCAATTAAATCATACCAAATAATAGATCATACTGTATTAATTCAGAGGTCATACTGTGATATCTGGTCAAAATATATGATACACATTTCAGAAATTCTGCATTGGGTATTGGGTACTGATATCGTAGCACAGATACAGAGAACACACTTAAATAAACATTTCTACTATATCCATATATCCACTGTCCCAGGACGCAGGGTTGCTATTTGTGGAGCTAAACCCTAACTTCAACAGCAGCTCAAAGGTTCGGCCCTCCCTCTTCCCTCGGCTCCTGCTAAACCAGCTTGTCTCGTTCCTCCTTTGTGCGGGTGTCAAAAAGCGCCCCATGTTTTCTTTTGCTGCCTGCTGCTAAGCAACCAGGGAGATTGAGAGCGCTGCAAAGGAGCGCAGCCTTAATCCAACACTGGTGCATTCTGCACAGTCAGCTGTTGTCCTGAAACGCATATTTGGGCCAGAGTAGAGCTAGCACTTTTTACACCCTCAAGTTTAGAGAGGGGATTTACTAACTGGACCATCTGTCATAGCCAATCAGCAATGCAACACACGCATCCACACTTCCATTTCGATTCATAAGTTTGAATATTTCTTACACATTTAAAAACACAACAGAGCACAGTGGAGACACAAAATGTACCAAGGCTACATTTTTGTTTTGTTTTTGTAACCTCCAAAGCACCACCAAATTTTCAGAACCTTACTTCTTCACTGTACTGTTTCATAGAATCATAGCAATTGTTGGCGAGGAGAAAATTCAGTTTCTTCAAACAAACTAACTTTTGTCCAGTTAACAAACTGAATTTTTTCCTCGTCATGGATTCTACCCGGACGACTGAGGGATTCTTCACACATAGCAATTGTTGTAGAAACAAAGATTATAATGTACTAAATTTTAAATGTAAACACTGAAATGTTTGGCCTTCTGTGACATGCATTAGTTTAAAGATTATATATATATTATGCTACTAGCACAGCTAAGTATGAACAAACGCTAGTGATCAACTTTATTTACAGCTGAATTGTATCCAATTGTCCTTTTACTCTAGCCCTTTTTCCACTTGTGTTGCTACAAGCGGCTTCAAGTTGGTGACACCCGATGTGGTAATATTTGAATAAGGACACAGATCACTGTGAATATGATGCCAAGATAGGAAATCTTTTATTACAGAGAAAAAAAAACTTTTCTTCCAAAATATAGAAATCTGTACAACTTCCGCACAATCAATTTACATGAACTGTACAAATTTACAGCAGTTCATCACAACATACCCAAGGAAAAGAGACTGAACACGGTGTACTGACATAAGATCACGAGAAACAGCTTTTCTTGGGTAAGCTCAGATTTTTTGTCTATTTTCTGCTTTTATGTAAATAAGGAAAAAGAAAAAAATAGAAAAAAAATGAAAGAAGAAAATAAAAACAAAGGATATGTCTACAATTACAGATCATGGAAACAATATTTTTCACCAAAACAACTTTGGTCCTTGCCAATGCTCCCGTCACTAATGGCTCCACATAGAAAAGAATTATCCATGTTAAAAGATGAAATGCAAAAAGGAATACATCCAAAACACCTCCTGATAGCAATTATTGGCACTTCCCAAGTATAATGTTATGTACTCTACCATTTGTACAGTTACAATACATTCTACAATATTGAAACCCTCCAATGTGAAAGTGGCAATAATTCAACTAAAGGGTGACAATATTTGACAACATTAAAATTGTTCCC